AGGTGTGAGCTCAGATCTGTGGGCTCATAAAACTTCAAACTGGTGCAGATTTTGACATGATCGTTCCCTTGCAGAGAGGCATCATGCGCTTCGGGAAGTTCTTACCCTTCCTGGCTCTTGGCATCCTGGTCCTGTACCAGGCGGGACTGCTCCAGGCAACACCATTCAGGTGAGACAGCCCTGAAAGTAGCATACTCCTTCCCAATGCCCCTGGGAGCAAACAGTCCTGTGAGCTGAGCTGTGGTGTGCTGAACGTTTAACACTGACTGGGTTTTGCGGGGGTAGGGGAGTGGGGGGGGTTCAAGGGGAGTGTATTTTTTTCTGATATAAAGAAAACAATTATTTAGCACATAACTATTAAACTTACAAGCAGTAATGATATCTGATATTCTTTATTGTAAATTTCATACAGCTCGTTCAGTCTCATAGAATGATTTTGTTGGTTTTTACCAAAATTTTCTGTGTCCTCAAGAGGACACAGGTCTTGTGCCCTGTCCACTGGGAGTTGGGGTGGCCACTTCCTTAGGGGAGACCCAACAACCAGGGAGCCTGGATGCTTCTTCTGGGGAGGGGGCAGGAAGGACTCAGAGCTTGTGTTGTGTTTGCTGCATCTCCTCAGTTCTGACTCGGAGGACACCTCCAATCCTGCTTCCCTCAATGAGGAAGAAGACCTCCTTCTGGCCATACTGGTGAAGGAGTTGCTGAAGAAGATGGCCCGGGAGAAGGAGCAGGTGACAGCGGGCTCCAGGTGAGACCCCACACCTGCCCAGCACAGGGTATGGCGGGTGGTCCCCGTGACCAACCTCAAGCAGCAGGAACAGGTGCACCTTGTAAGGAGAAGGCAAACACTCCAGGAGTCAGTGCTGTAAACTCCCTTCCTCTTCAGGGGAGTCTGGGGCATTTTTGTATTCCCAAGAAGGGATATTTGGTGCCTTTGAGTGAGATGTGGCTTCTGGACAATCCTCGTGATGGGGTTGGATGTGATGCCATAATCTCTCTAGTCTCACAAGCTGTAATCAATTTTAATTTATTTATATGGAAATAATTGGCTATTATAGCTCCGTGTCCCATGGCCAGTCACCCAGGGCCCCCTTTGGGACTTTTTACACCCATGGTAATACCTATGGGGAGTTATCATGGCATTTTCCCAAGTGTCTGATGATTATCTGCTGTGATAATCCTGTTCAGTAGGAGAAGCACTTACGGTTCATCGNTATTATAGCTCCGTGTCCCATGGCCAGTCACCCAGGGCCCCCTTTGGGACTTTTTACACCCATGGTAATACCTATGGGGAGTTATCATGGCATTTTCCCAAGTGTCTGATGATTATCTGCTGTGATAATCCTGTTCAGTAGGAGAAGCACCTTTCAGACAGCAGTTTTGCCATGTTGTCCATGGGGAAGGCTTTGCCCCCACCAGTCTCTGACTGACGGGCCTTCTGTTTTTCTCCATCATGTAAATCAGCTTCACTGCCCAGAAGAGAGCCTGCAACACTGGCACCTGCTTGACCCAAAAGCTTGCAGGCTTGCTGAGCAGGTCTGGAAGTGTGGCACACAAGAACTTGCTGCCTTCTAGCATGGTCTCCAATGCCGCTCCCCGGAAAGCCAGGGATCTTGATGCGTAAGCACCTGAAGGACTCCAGGAGGAAGGTGACTGCCCCTGTACTGTTGCATGGGAGGGTGGATGACTGGCTACTGCAGGGCTGCAGTCCCTCCTTGGGCACATATGGTTAAAAATCAACAGGGAAAGTGTCTGGAGGACAGAGAATCCCAATAGACGAAGCCCTTAGATTTTGAGTTGCTCTGGGGTATTTTCCATTGTCTCCCTGTGACATTGAGATCTTCTGCCAGAAAATATAGATGATAATGGACTCACAATTAATAAGTAACTAAATTCTAACTGTTGGTTTTTTTCTCCTAGATCACCATGAAGCTGAACCCTACCTACTTCTTTAAATTTATCACAAAATCAATTGGAGAAATGCATGAAAACCAAACATATGCATGCTAATTGGCATTGAAAAGACTCTGTCTTACTCAAAATAAATTTAACTGCATAATAAAGCTATTGAAAAATTACCAAGTGTGCATCTTTTTATATTTTCTTCTATATTCAATAAATATGACAGCCTATCTCATTGGCTTATCTGGTAACAAATCTGGGCCCACTCAGCCCACCTGTTGATGTTGGCAATCCTGCCAAACCTCAGGGGGACATGAAATTGCTGCATCCTGGGTGTCTGGGGACACATGGTAATGCTGTGCCTCAATGGAACTCTTTCTTTAAAAAAAATTTTGTCTTTTGGGAACTTCATCAAGAGAGAAAAAAAGTAGGGCAGGTGTAGGGTGGAGGGGGTCAAAATGGGGACATCTGTAATACTTTCAGCTATAAATATAAGATTTTTAAAAAGAAAAAGAAAAATGTAGGGTGGGTGTAGGGTGGAGGGGGTCAAAAGGGAAAAAGGGGGACATCTGTAATACTTTTGACAGTAAAGATAAATTAAAATAAAAGGAAAAAATGTGACTTCATACATTTAAAAGGAGTCCCTCCTGCTATTTATGCTGTTTTCCCCCAGAGAGCCTCAGGGACTGTGAACACTTTGTTGACCAGGCTGACTCAAAGGAGGCAAAGGCAACATGCTTGGGATGGGTCTTCAGTATCCTGTACCCTTAGCTTTAGTAAAATATCCCTTGCTGAAATTACAACCCTGACATCTCAAAAACACAATTCACATTTATTTTCAGAGAGTTCCCTAGTCCCCAACTCCAAAGGACATCTGTTCACTCCTCCTTAAATCAGGTTTGCGCTAGCCCATCAATGA